CGGCAACCACCATGGGACCCGCTGCGCCGGGGAGATTGCTGCTGTGCCAAACAACAGCTTCTGCACGGTGGGAGTTGCCTATGGGAGCCGCATCGCGGGTACGTGCACGCCGCTGCACCCCGACATGCTATGCTGTGCTCGTGCCCGGCTCGTGCCCTCTCAGATTCTGTGGGGCCGGGGCAGAGCTCCGTGGGAAGGGCGGCTTGGCCAAAGCGGCTCCGAGCCAGCCGATGCCTTGCTCAGGCTGGTTGCTTTGTCAGAGGGAGGAACCGGCGTCTGTCTGAGCTCCCCTCCAGAGGAGCCAGCTCCTGGCAGAGCAGGATAAGCCTGTGCTGGGGCAGCTTTTCCAGGGGCTTTTCCAGAGTGCTCCCAGCACGCCGCCTGCCTGGCCGCCGAGCTTTCGGCAGATGCACATCCATACGGCGCAGCCTAAGCCAGGCAAATGTGTGACGTTGTGCCTGCTCCGGTGCAGCCCTGCAGGCTGTATCTGGAGGGACTCGGGGAGCGAATGTTTGCCAACCCCCCGTGCTCCCCTAGCCCTTGGCGGGGAAGGTCTGGCTGCGCGTCGCTCCCCCCCTGAGGTGGGACCTGGCACTTCTTTGGGCTTCAGCTCTCCAAAGCTGTGCCCAGCCTTGCGGGGTGAGCAGAGCGGGGCAGCCTCGAGCTCTGCTGGGGGACGTGGAAGCGCTGGTGCCAGCCGGGGTGGGGAGAGCCAGCGCATCCCTGGCTGAGCCGCTCCGCTCCTCCACGGGGGCAGCTCAGATGCGACAGTAAAAAGCCGCGTGTGCTGTGTCAGGCAAGAGCTGAGATGGGTGGGCGGTTGCGCTGTTTATAAATAGGCTTAATTGAGATGCGTGCCTCGTTTCCATTTGTAACATCCTTTGCCAGCCTAAACTGTGATGCAGAACGGTAATTAGCAATGGTTTGGGTCACTGAAAGCTCAGCATTGAGCCTCCATCAGCTTTGCTGGAGAGGTGGCCTTGCCCTCCTGGTCTGGGCACAGCAGCTGGGGCGTCCTGCGTCTCTTGAGCCTTTCCTTCAGCAGGCAAGCCTGCCGTCCATCCCAAAGCAACGCCTGGCCGTTTGGTGACTTGGACGGGGAAGCAATTGCTCCAGGCAGAGACTAGCCCTGAAAAGCCCTGCGGTACAGCTCCAGGAGATCTGGCTCCATCGGGCTGGGAGAGCGAGCATCCCCAGTGTGAACCTGCCGAGGAATTTGTCTGCGCTGTTTATACAGCTTACTTTGGTCCACTTTGGTCACGCTTCGTTGTCCTTCGCCCTGCAGGCATCCGAGTGCTGGATGGGCCCCTCACCGACAGCATGGAGGCCATTGCCTTCAACAAGCACTATCAGATCAACGATATCTACAGCTGCAGGTGAGCCCCGAGGGGACCCTGAGCCAGGCCATGCCGACACCCAGCGAAGGGCCATGGGCCCCGCTCTGCTCTGAATGCTCACACCAGCTCCTCTCCTCCTGTGGCTCCCGCTAGCTTTGAGGCACCGAAACCAGAACCCCTTTTGTGGGTCCTGTGAGTGTGCCTGGCAGCCAGGCTGCGAGGCGGCGGGTCTGTCCCGCAGAGGGAGCGCCCTGCCTGTCCTCCTGGGTGCCCGCCTGCGCCCTGCAGTCAGGCTTTCTCAGGGGCTCTGGGCAGCCGAGCCTCGAGGGTGTTTGCAGCCAGAGACGTAGGGTGGTGCTCTCTGTTGCTGCTGGTGAGAGTAACGTCAGTATTCCTGTCACTGGAGAGCTGGCCCGGGATGTGTACGGCACCTACGGTTGCGAGACCTTCTTCTGTGCGCTGCCACAGCGCGTCCTGCGGGCTGGCTGAGCTAGAGGGGCACTGTGCCCCCCGCTGTGGTCGGGGAGCCCCGGCTGAGCAGTGTGACGGGGACTGGAATGTGTGAGAAGCTGGTTGGTAAATCAAAATCAAACATTTTGTCTGCTGGAATCTGACCTAGGGGCACAGGGCAAACGCAAGAGCAATATCCCAGCAGCGAGGGGCCAACCTGACGGATGGGAAAGTAGAGCACCCTCCGATCCCAGTCGCGGTGCTGTGAGGAGCTGGTGGCTGCTTGTAGCTCCTTGTCATGGGAGAAAGAGTTGCTGTCTGCAGCTCCTGGGGCTGTCACTTCATGGTGTCTCTCCTTGCAGCTGGGGTCCAGATGACGATGGGAAAACCGTGGATGGCCCCCATCAACTGGGAAAGGTAAAAAACAGTCCCAGCAGCACGGGTCGCCCCTGGGCCAGCCCTCTGGTGCTCGTGGTTTCTTGCCTGCCCGGACAGGCGAGGAGGGATGTTGCTGTGGCGCAGCGCATGTTTGTTTGCTTCTACCCCTGCCAGCATAGGCGTTGCATGTTACGTGCGGTGGGGAGAGGTGACGTCACTGCGGGAGCATTCAGGCAGCATTAGATGAGCTTTCCATGGAGAGGCTGGTTCCAGCAGGAAAACGCTCTTTCGCAACCTGTGGTATTATTCTGACAACTTTTGCAAGCCAAGGGGTGCCTTTGCTCAGGAGACTGAGCATTCCCGGTGCTAAGGGTGCTTTTGCTGTCGTTTTTCTCACTGCAAGATAGCAGTTACGGTGCTGTTCGGACGAATGCTGACGACTGCGCTATCGGTTCACGATGACAAATGGTTTCTAGTTCTGCAAGTTAATTTATTCTCTTCCTGCATGTAGAGATGGCTGTAACCAGCTCTGGGACACAGAGCACAGGCTAAGCTTGCTTTAGCGCAGCAGAGCGTCCAAAGGGCTTTCTGCCCAATGCAGGATGTGCCCTCACCCGGTGAAGGGAGAGCAGAGGAGAAAGGCTGGTTTCCAGTGGGATTGCTCTCTTGTCCATTAGACACATAGCCTTTCTCTAGGCAGGAATGACGTCTGTGCTTGGTGTTGGCCTGGGAACGCGTGTCCCGAGCGGGGCTGCTGTGGTGTTTCTCGGCGAAGGCAAGGGCCACGTGCTCCTGGGGGCTGGGGCCTCGCAGAAGGGCAGCGGCCACGTGTGGGGAGCCTCTGTCGGCAGGAAAGCCCCGATGCGGCAGAAAAGCCAGTCCCAGAGTGAGCCCTGCTGAAGCTGGGGGGACTGGGGCCACTGTGTTTCCTCTGGAGTTCAAATGCTGCTCCATCTTTGTGCTGCAATTGCCTGGAAGGTTGCTTTTCCTTTTTCTCTTTTTAACGCAGAATTTGCTTAAAATCGTAGTGAGCTATAGATCGGGCCGTTGCCCAGCCCAGACGTTGGCTGCATCGCTGCCTTAGTAACACGCTTGCTCTGGAATCTCGGTGTCTGGTCGGGGCTGTAACAGACACAACTCCCTGACGCTGCTAGCCTGGTGAAATACGGCCCGCAGGGGTTGTGGCTGGCCCTGCTATCACCCCGAGTACTTGGCAGGGCTGGTTATTGAACTCTCGGAGCATGGGCTTTGGTTGCTGGATGGAGATGCCGGGACAGAGCTCTCCGGCACGTCCTGTGCCTGTGAGCAGTCTGCGGGGCAAACGCTTTCCCAGCTCGGGAGAGGCGCACGCGTCCGTCCGCGCCTGGGTTAGTGGTGAGGTGCACCGCGAGGTCCGGGAGCGCCCTGCTGCCCCGCGGCCCACACCTCTGGGGTCAGCGAGGAAGGGCCCGCCTGCCTACGTGCCCTGAGCAGTGACGGTTCCTTCTCCGCAGGCCGCCCTGCAGCACGGCGTGATAGCGGGTCGCAGGGGCTTTGGGAGCATTTTCGTCGTGGCCAGTGGCAACGGCGGGCAACACAATGACAACTGCAACTATGATGGCTATGCCAACTCCATCTACACTGTCACGATAGGTGAGTGCGTGTGCCTTCTGTCTCGTTCCTTCCCAGCGTGGAAAACGGTGCTCATCCCAAAAGTGCCAAACCTGCCCAGCTGGAAGCTGTGGGAAAGTGTCTGCCCTCTGGGAACGAACATGGTAGCGTGTAGAGGTGCTGGGCTTCAGCCCTCAAGTCTACAGTTTCCCTTTGACCTAGAGAGCAAGAGGAAGCCGAAGAAATTCCTGCCTGCGTTCAGGCCTCCGCCACTGGGGCTGTGACAGACACACTGCCATGTTGAGGGAGCTACCCGCAATGCCGCGTGCCCATCACGTGTCTTAATAAAGAAATGTCTAATCTGTTTTCTTGAGGGCAGAAGCTACGTGGAGTGTAGATGATCAGTGTAATATTAAGCACAGTGAAAGGTTACTGTGGCTGCCTTTCCTGTGGATCTCCCAGCCATGAAAAATGCAGGCTTGGGTCTGGTTTCCCTGTCCAGCTGCCAGGCTGTGAAAAAGCACAACTAGCAGGACAGGTCCTCAGGGGCCCGTGACCTTGCAATCTCTGCAGTTAAAACGGAAGAGGCTTCATACGGTCAATGCCTTTACCTTTTTCCCAGGCGCAGTGGACGAGACAGGCTCCATGCCGTTCTACGCCGAGGAATGTGCCTCCATGTTAGCGGTGACCTTCAGCGGCGGGGACAAGATGATGAGGAGCATTGTGAGTACCACACGAGGCACGGGTCCTCCCCTGTGCTCTGCTTGCCACGCCTGGCCGCAGGCTGGAACAGCCCGGTGCGGAGAAGGGGTTGAAGCTTTGTCCCGTCTGACTGCCACGCGTCTGCCTTAGGCTGGGAGTTGGGCTCCTTTGCAAGGCAGGGAACGAACGTGCTTTTTATCTAGGTCCTACCCTGACAGAGCTCTGAGAGGGAGGCTCCCATTTCTAGTTGTTCCCCATGTTGTCGCTCTCTGTCAGCCTGTAACTCGCAGCGCGGGGACCCTCTCTCCACAAGGGTGTTTGCAGGCACGCTGAGCTGCTGGCCCCAAGCGCAGGCAGATCCTGCGGTGCACCCTGCCCAGCCAGCCCCTTGCTTCTGCGCCCATGGGGTGCAGGAGCACAGAGGGCTGGGAGCAGCATCAGGCTCTTTAAGTTACTTGGCCCCAGCTCCTTCTTTGTTCTGGCACGTGTGCCTCTCCCAGCTGAATTTTTCTGAATATTTTTATCAGCTTTTCCTTTTTTGCCAAAAAATGACTTCTTGTCAACAAAATGTCCTTTTTGTCCGAGCCAAGTAGCTGGGCCTGTTTTCACCAGCCCCAGGCCTGACCCAGCATGTTCCTCCCTTGGTGCTGGTGCACTCGGGGGGCTGCCAGGCTCACCAGCCTCACAGGCCGTGAACCACAGTGTCGGCGGGGACTGCAGAGCCCAAGCCACCCTGGGACGGCTTGGGGTAAATGTCGCTGGCTCCCAGGCCTGACTGATGGGGCTTGGGTTGTCCCTGGCTTGGAAGGCACCAAAAGGATCTCCCGTCAGGACGGGCAGTTCCCAACGGCACTGTCCTGGCAAAGCCAATGAGGCAGCGGCGTCCCAGTGCCAGATCAGCATCAGCACCGGTGCTCGGGGCTCTCTGGGGGTCTGACGGATGAGGGACGGTGCCTAGGGTGCTCCTGCGAGCAGAGACGTGCAGCCGTGGCTCTGTGCCTGCCAGAGAGGAGCTGAATCCAGGCTTGTCAAACAGGCTTCCCCGCGTGCTGGGTAAACCGGGCAAACAGGGAGAGCCTGGGTTCCTCAGCCACCTGGTTGGGACTCGGCAAGCTTCTCTCGCGGTGCAGAGCCAGGGCAGGAATCAGTGCCTAACTAGAGCGTGGCGCAATCTGCCCGGAGCAATGCCTCGGCTCATGCGGCAGGGAGAGTAAAACCCGGAATGGAGCTGATTTTTCCTTTCAGAAATAACTTCAATTGTCCCGAGCCGGTTCAGAAACTACCGACGCTAGGAAAAAAGGGAATGGCAGCCAAGCAAGGGCTCTGCTGCGCTGTCATCGGGAGTTACAGAGTTTGGGGTTTAGGTCCAGCTTCCCCCAAGCCTGCTGCTAGTGAGAACGCTTTGAAGGTCTCGAATGCCCCTTCATTTCGAATACTGGCCTTATGGGACACGAATGTGGGAGCTGGTATTCCATCGGGGAGCCAGGACGAGATGCCAGGCATAGCCTAGGCACAGCACGTACCAGAGAGCCGTCCTGTTTCTTTGCGCTACCGCGATCGCTCCTTCAGCGAGCCCATGCCATGCCATGTTAAAACTTAGACGCCCCTTCTTCTGGAGGATAGCCTGCTCCTAAATGCTCTTGAACTTGCTTCAGCGATGTCAGAGTTAACTTCTCTGCAGCCATCTGCTGGGTTTTTTTCTTTTAGCAGACTGTAAACTTTGTGTGGTTTCCTTAATGGGAAGAATTTAATACGGCTTCTGGCACTAGCTGCATTTCCTACTGAAAGTTTATGCTGCTCGGGGTGTTCTCTGTAGGACTTGCAGCGTCCGAGCGCAAGCTGGAGTTGTTAAGAGCTGGCAGTCAAGCACAGAAGGCAACAAAAGCTATGGCTTTTGGCAGTGCAGGCTGTCTTCCCCGTTGGGAACCTCCCAAAGCCTCTTCTGAGGCTCTGTGTGCTCCGCACGGTCCTGTGTGGTCCCTCTGCAGTGGCCTGGTTGTGCTGGAGTGACACTGTGGTCGGCAGTCAAGATGAGGAAGGTCCCAAACTGCAACTGCCATGAGTTTCCCTCAAAGTTGCTTAGTTCAGGCCCAGTTCCTCTCTTTCTCCAAAGGAAACTATCTGCATTCGTTGCTTCTCAACTGGGGTGCGCAGTCCCTGAAGCGAGGGTCTCCCAGGACTCCTTACGTTTGAGTTGGTACTCTGGTCCTAAGGCCCTGTGTGTGTGTCCAGAGGGTCCCGGAGAACATCCGTGCTGTTCGAGTTTTGGGGTGTTTCAGCTTTTAAGGTTCCTTCTCCTTCGCAAAATGCTGTGCAAACAGTGGTTGCAAAGGTGCTTTCCTGCCCTTGCTCCGGGGCGGAGCTGCCTTAGCCGCTGTTTGCATCCCACCACATCACTGGAGCTGTCTGCTGGTCTCCTTCCCACCTTGTACTGCTTTTTGCTGGGTGCCCACATCCTGGCCAGGAGGTGTCTGGGAAATGTTTCCAGGCTTTTCAGCAGCTAATCCCTGACCCTCTCCCCCTGCTGCTGCCCTGCTCTTGTTGTTGTTCTGGTCTTGGCTGAGGGAGGATGGGATTTCTGGCTGCCCCTCCCGTCTCCCAGCATGATCTCAGCAACCACAGAAAGAAAGAAAGCTCATGTGCTGCAAATTCTTCCCTCCTGCCCCAGGGGAAGCTGCCTGTGTGGAAGAGACATCTGGGAGACGGACAGATTAGCTGTGGTTCGCGTAGGCAGGGGGTTAAGGGCCACCACCTCCCCATGCCTTTGCTCTGGAAGGGGAGCCCTTGGGCCTCCAGAGAACTGGCTCGTTTTGCCTGAAAGCCGTCTATGAAGCAGGTCAGGCTCTGGATGCTGGCCTCGGCGTCCGTATTCGGACTGGGTGCATCCCCACTGCCCCAGCTTACCTTTCCCTGCCCCTGTTTCCCTATGGTCGCAGAGAGGCTGGAGGTGTCCCCGCACGAGGGGCTGTGGACGCTCAGCTGCGGTCCCTCCTTTTCCTTCTGGCATAGTGGATCTCTCAGGAAGGGGCATGAAGGTGCTGTGTGAACGTCCGTGAGCATCCCCTTTAAAGGCGGCTGCGTGCCCTCGCACACTGCAGAGAAGCCCAGCTCTTCGGCCCAGCGGTGCGTGCGGCTGCTCGCCTGCCGGGGCTGTCGTGCTCTGACTCCTGCTCAGTGCCAAACCATCTCTTCACCTGGGGCAGACCGCGTGGAGACAGACGCGCCTGGCCGGGCTGGCCTCTGGCAGACCGGGGAAGGGCACTGCTGGCTGCACGAAGCGCCCTGGTCACTGCCATAGCAGCCGTGTAGCAGGGGCTGGGTTAGCTCCTCTCTCCCCCGGGACGGTCGGCTCAGCCTGACCGAAGGCATCCTGCAGTGGAGAAGGTTTTCACCATCCACAGCAAACAATAACGGGGCACCCCAGATAGCTGCTGACTCCAGCTTTTCTCCCCTCTCACTCCCGATTTTCCAAGCCTCCTCTTCATGTGTCTGGCCATCCTTGGGGGGGGTCTCTTCCTCCTCAGGCTTGTGGTACAGTAAGAGCAATTACGTGAACATTGCTGACAGAAACGTGTGAGCTGCAGGGCTGTCAAGAAAGCCACCAGCTTGTGCAGCACTGTTGGGGTGCTCATGCAGTAAGTGAGGACCCCGGCCTCCACGCAGCGTACCCGGGCTGTCCTCACTCGCAAGCTGTCTGCCATCTGCCCCGTTCCCTGCCAGGAGCATGACTGCTGGCCCTGCTCTGCTTGGGCATTGCTCATTTCTTAATTGTGTCCAGGATGATGGTGGGGAGCCTCAGAGCCCCCATCTCTCTTGCCGTTTGAG